TACATTAGTGTCATAAGCTGTGATCGGTGCGAATTTATCCTCCTCGAGTCATCGATTAGTGATTGCATCATATCGTATTTCATCGGTTATGGATGGCAAAGTTCACTCGCATGCCTGCTATTGAAGCGACGTCAATGGATATGATTAGAGACTCGTTGTGATTGACGAGTAACTCAATGAGTTTTAAAAGCATATCATGGGATGCTAATATTATAGTAAATTTATGTCATTTTGTTATCGTGTATTACGTACGATGTGAGGTTGTACAAATCTACATGCAAGATGAATACACGATGATTTTGTCTTTTCACTACGAGACATGAATAGAACGTTCAAATATGAAACATTCGTTAGATTTTAGACACAACTACAACAGATAGGAAAAATAGTCAATTAGAATAATGAAATGGAACTGTAACTCTTGTACATCTCAGGAGTCATTGGAATGGCTCTGCTGCTGGACATGTCAAATGGAGGATTGGATCGAAAATGGGTCAGACCGAAATTGATTCGTTTAACCCATACTGATTCATCTTCACGTAATATAATTTTGCCATCAATATCGGCCCCTATTTTTAAAGAGGTGATGTAATATTCATGTAACCCGACTCTTAAGAGGTCATTTTTATAAAATTATTGTCCTTGATGCAAATTAAGTTTTCTTCACAAGCCAAAATAAGATTTTTTTTCCCACAACCGCATAAGATAGGTCGAGGACTAGTATTTCTTCTCTATTTGTGGCCCAAAAGAGGATCATCCCTGTCACAAGACCCCCTACCATCTTAGGAAGATTTCCCTGAAATTGACTAATCCAGATGGGAGCAAAAGACAACGAAAATGATGTCTTCTAGCGTTTTAACCTATACATGCAACCAATACAATGCTTATAACTGTTGAGATACATACGTGAGTTGTGTTAGAAAATCTCACATCGGATAATTCATATGGTGTTGAGCAGTTAATATATCTTAGTTGACTCATAACTCATAGATTTAAGTTTTTGAGTGAAAGTGGGTCCAACTGGATATATTGACAAGCTCGAACTCGAGCTCCCTCTTGACGATCTCCCCAAGTGAAGGTATCTGGCTTCTGCTGCGCATTTCCAACAAGTGGTATAAGAATCGATGGTTGATTGGTGGGCCCCCAATCTGTTCCGGTGTTTGGTGAATATCTTAATAAAGAAATCTAATGATCGACGCTTGTTTCGGGTGGAAATTGTCATATCACGGTTGGTCTGGCGAGAAGTGACCATGGACAGTTGGTTTGGTGAAGCGAGATAGAGACTATGGGTGATGCAATCTCAAGTTAGCAGTTGATGATGGTTGTTGTACATAGTTGCGGGTGCATTGCAATGACTTGGAGATTCGAATTGGGATAAGCTGATGTAGAAGAATACATAAATTAATGGGGAGCAAACCTAGTACTGAGCTCACACGTGAGGGGGAGATTGTTGAGATATACGTATGGGTTGTGTTAGAGAATCCCACATCGAATAATTGATGTGGTGTTGAGCAGTTAATATATCCGAGTTGGTTCATAACTCATAGACTTAAGCTTTTGAGTGAAAGTGGGTTCAATTGGATATGTTGACGACTTTGAACTTGAGCTTTCTCTTGACAATCTCCCTAGGTGAAGGTATCAGGCTTTTGCTGCGCATTCCCAACAATAACATAATAGACATTGGAGCAAAACAAACAACTTATTTGGACCAAGGAACAACCATCCGGTTGGACTCGTCAAATGTCAATGGTACTACTAAATAACTTATGTTAATCCCGTGTCGAGTTGATGTTAAGTCTTATATAATCATTTTGAAATCTTCGGCACGGATTCGCAGTAAAGGAGACCGCGACTTTTTACAGGTCAAAAAAACGAGAGAAGATGCCAAGCTATGTCCGGTTCAAACTTGATCGAAATGCGTTAAAGATAGGTCCGAGTCAAACCCATTCAGATTCGTTTTTAACTGGTCTTGATTTCTTACAATTCGTTTTTTAACTCCTTCATAAAATTAGAATGACCCATTTGAAATCTAGCTCATCAAATATGAATATAAGTAAAAAAATGGGTCAATGAACCCATTTCGCCACTTCGAACGGAGATTACTATCTATAAGGGCAATCAATTGTAGGATGAATAATGTTGGAGGTTTGAAGATTAATTGATTGATATAATCTGCGAATTGATGTGGCACAATACTTAATACATTCTCGAAAATGGCAAATCGTTGAAATACCGGCTTTTGCACATATGACAGCACTCTTGAAGGATGTCCACAAGTCACACGTATAGGTACATTTTGGAGTAATTACCGCTTTCCACTCCGGAGATTGTATCCCAATCAAATCATAAATTCATTTTCATTTTTGCGCAAAAGTTTTTTTCCTTTTGAATCGGATCCTGGATTTTTCTGTAAGAGCATTCGGGCATTCAATATGTTAAAAGGCGCACATGATTGTACGGATAGGATGAAAGTTATTCTATCTAGCATTTGAAGATACATTTGGATTGGGATAAGTCCGCATAAACTTTAGATGACTTGTCCAGACTTTAGGGGAAGAATAATTTTGTCGCAGATACAAAAACATCCGGCTTGTCGCAATCCCGATGGTCGTCCTTGATAGGCCACACAATGTGATGGTGATCGCTTGCACAAGTTGAGATCCATCTAGATCTTGATCAACTCACCCCGTCTTTCTATCTCGATGGTTGTAGGCGACCACTATGACAGGTGCCACCGTTGCCGCGGTTGTTGCATCAGTCAACAACCACCGTGGTAGTGATACTAGTTGCAGGGCAGGCTGCCGCGGTAGAAGTGGTCGTGCACCCACCACCTCCAGCTCAATTTTTCTGCTTTTAACTTTCTTCAAGTATTTTATTAACTTTTCAAGTTTTTTTTATTGTAATGACTATGATCGTTGTGACATCGGATATTTTTGTCAATAAAAAGATGTGATACAACAAATCGCCGCAGTTTTATCTTCTTCTTTTTTTTTTTATATCATAATCCCTTGTGTTGGCGATCAAACGCAACTATAGTTTGACAAAAATGAATTAGCATGAATTGCAACTTTAGAAACTATGACGCGTTCTGCATTAACTCCAATACAAACTGCGTAGGGCTTAGGGAATTGACTATTAAGAGCACACAAGTAGCATCCCTTCCAATTATTGTACACTCACAATTGCTGACTTATGAAAAAAAAAACATAAACTATTATTTGTTCCATCACCTCACAAGTAAAATGAAAAAAAAAAGTAACAAATAGAAAAACTTCAACTTGAAGGCTAAGAAGCTTCCATCTCAAGAGCTCCTTTGCTTTTCCTATTGAATCATTTGTTTCATTAATCAATATCCGCTAAAATAATTGCGATCCACTCCTTTTCATTGTATGAACCTCATCGGCAGATGCGGACTCATTCTTTAAGATGGACATTTTCCAACTAGGTGATTTTTACCAGCAAAATATTTAGAAGAAAAGAATTTTTTAACTGCTGTTTGGACATAAGTTAGGTAATTTTTGTCAAACTGCGATTAACTGTCGTATTGAACATATAGATGGGATGTTTGGTATGAACTATGGTTTTCAATTCTTGGCTTTTTTCTTTCACTGTTTGAGTTAAATCAATTTTCGAGCACGTTACTTTATCTTCACCGAAAGAAAAAAAATGAATTCTTATTTCCCATGTTAAATTTTCAAATATTATTTTAAATTCTAAAAATATCATATGCCAATTTATACGTCAATGTTTGTATGTTTCATGGGTTTTGCATTAAGATAAAATTGAAATGCATGGACCGCAATATTTGAAAAGAAAATGTAAAAAATTATAAAGTAAAGCTACTCCAAACACACCAAAAACAAGTATAGCATCTAAAGTCAATTAAACATTTTTCATATTTTTTCAAGAATATCAATGGTTGGGCTCACTTGCTCCAGAACTTTGGATGGCCCCTGCCCATTAGAAATAAGTAACTTCCAAGGCATTGGTAAGCCACAAAAATAAATGTAGTCATATTATTAAAATAGTTGGTAATATTAGAAGTATAGAGAAATGTTGGTACTTCCCAAAATCGAGTAAGATAAAAAGTTGGTATGTGGCTAAAAATAGTTGATTTCTTAATGCGATAAATGTTGGTATTTCAACTCAGATTAAGGTTGGTAATTTCCAACAAAAGTCGTTAACTTCGATACCATTGGTAATTGACAAAGATAATTGTTTGTAGAGTATTAAAAAAGTCGACGAAAGTGTTGGTACTTATGAAAACCTGTTGGTAAGTAACTAGTGCGTGACCCGGGTCATGGAGTTGTCGATCAATTTTTAAGACCAACACTATTTGCTTGTTTCGCAACAAACTCAGCGATGTACCAATATGGAATTGGATTTCGAATTTTTGTCAAACAATATATCATGCCCAAGTGAAAGGCAATGAACTCTGTCTTGGTGAAAGGTTATGCACCTTTCTTATACCCAAAAAAGGCATAGCAGCGCGAAAACGCCACCGAATTAATCTTATTGTATGGCGAAATTTGTTGCAAAATCAAAGAGAGATTAGAGAAAATAAAAATAAAAAGCAGATGAAATAATCGGTGAAAAAAAGATGGCGAAATTTGTTGGGAGGATTATTTATGGTATAATGAAAAGTCGACGTTGGATCTACTTATTTTAGTACAAATATCATATTCATCATGAATCAATGTAAACGTTAATCTGTCCTTGTCACATGTGACATTGGCTCGTTGGTACGAGGACGGTTGTGACTCGCGAGCTCTCGTGAAGTGAGAAAAGAAAAAGTCGTATTTAACGGTGATTTTGAAGAGGGCCAATCTAGTTTTGTCCGAGTATCTTCCTGATTCTAATCAAACGAGAGTACACACATTAATACACTCCGACAAATTGAATCACTCGTCGATGGAGAGTTTCTAACCATATCAATAGATGTCACTTAAGTAGCCAGCATGTGAGTAAATTTTGCCACCCATAATCAATGATATACAATATGATGCAATCACTAATCAACGATTCGAGGAGGCTAAATTCACACCAATCACAAACTATGACACTAATGTAGTAGTGTCATTTTTCCAATACCATGGGCATATACATTACCAATACTTAATCAAAGGGAGGCCATTTATAAATGACCAATACAAGACATTATAACATAACAAACCGGGGCATATTATAAACATTATTATTATTATTATTAGTCATCACCATCTTATATTTGATATCATCAGAGGAATTAATCAGTTGTACCCTCCTCGTCCGGTGGTATTATAGCCATCGTGGAGTAGCCTACGTCCTGCACATGAGACAATGAGTCAAGAAAAACGATTATTTATTTATTTATTTAGTTTATTAAATAGGGTAATGCGAAAATTATATTCATAAGAGTTGGCCAAAACTCTATATGTAGTAGCCTTCCCATGCGAAAATTTTATGAAAATTATATTCATAAAATAATGTCATATCCGATCGCATAGAGAATCAGAGGGAAGACAAGACGTATAGGATGTAATTTCAATATTTAAAAGTCTTTAAAGAGGAGAAACTTTTTGAACTGCATCTTTTTCAAAAATTGTTACCACATGGGAAAAAATTGGTTAACTGACAAGTAAAAGGAACTGCACATGTACTGCATCATTTCAAAAAGATTTAGGATTGCATTTTTCGTAATTAAAAGGGTTAATCCCACAAAAAATCCTAAATATAAATTTATCTCAATTTAATTTTTGGGTTAATATCCCGAAAAATCCCAAACTGGTACATCTGCGACAATTTTACCCCAAACTAACTTTTTTACCACAAAAAACCTAAAATGGTTCACCTGTAATAAATTTACCCCAAAATAATTTTTTGACCACCAAAAACCCCAAATTGGTACACTTATGACAAATTTATTATATGTTAAATTGGATTAATACCACGAGAAACCACAAATTGGTAAACCTGTGACAAACGGAGGGGTAAAATCCCAAACTGGTAAATCCATTAACTGTCACGTGTCATCCAACTCAGCAATTTGATGGTAAAATTTAACAGAAACTAACAGAGGGTAAATTTATCAGGGATGTATCGGTTTAGGATTTTTGGCGGTCAAAAAATTAGTTTGGAGTAAATTTGTCACAAGTGTACCATTTTGTGAGTTTTCATGGTATTAACCATTAATTTTTTAATCACCAAAAACCTCAAATTGATACACTTATGATAAATTTACCCTCCCTTAGTTTCCGTTAAATTGAATTAATATCACGAAAAATCATAAACTGGTACACCTATGACAAACATAGGGTAAAATCCCAAACCAGTACACCTGTTAACTGCCACATGTCATTTAACTCAGCAATTTGACAGTAAAATTTAACGGAAACTAATGTAGGGTAAATTTATCACAAGTGTACTAGTTTGGGGTTTTTGGTGGTCCAAAAATTAGTTTGTTGTAAATTTATCACAAGTTTACTGATTTAAGATTTTTTGTGGTATTAACCATAATCAAAATGTTCAAAACTTTATGGTACTCCTATAAGATATTTTGAATTACGAAAATGATCCTCGACATATGTCTATTAAGTGGTCTGGCAAAACCGAAATATGTACGAATGTCAATCTTGGCTATACGATTCGCATCTTACACAAACTCGATGTGTATTAAACTAAGGACACATATATGCATATAGAAATATAAATTATTCAGGACACAGACCGAGTTGAAGCTCTGGGACTGCCTCGGCTACAGCAGCAAAGGCCAACTCAGTGGACATGAGCAAGAAAAACACCACAAAGATTGCCATCACCACCACATTGATGGTCTTCGAGAGTTCAAGATCTGCCATTGTATCTGGAGACAGATGAAGTGGCTTTGTGAACAGATGCTTGCTTTAGGGTAAAGTGTTAGGGGTGGAGAGATCTTGTTCTAGGATCAAGTATTTATAGAGAACGGCATGGTTGGGCTTGGTTTGACTCATTCCCTTTCATACTTAGGGTTTGGTGGAGCAGAGGGATGGATTATATTGACTTCTATGGAACACAATGATGCCGGTCTATTTGTGGAGTTGGATATTTTTACAAGTCGTAGTTTTCTTGCTTTGTCATTTTTTGTTTATGAGGAAAAAAAATCATTTTAAGCATATAATCGTAAGCTCATCAAATACCCTTCTAATTATTAACTGGGACGCTAGCCAATATTCCAGTAGACGGTCCAAACATTTTATTTTTGCATCTGATGACGTGGGAAGTCATGTGTCGTGCGTGTAATTCATGCACATCTCTGCTCCTTAAGTTTTATATCATCACTTTGAAATCTTCAGCACGGATTCGCAATAAAGGAGACAACAACTTGTTGCGGGTCCAACAAAATGGGAGAACAGGCCAAGCTATTCCCGGTTCAAACTTGAACAAAACGCTTTAAAGATGGGTCCGAGTCAAACCCATTTATATTCATTTTTAGTTTTTTCTTTGTTTCTTATAACTCATTTAAACTCGTTCGTAGAATTAGAGTGATCCATTTTAAACATAGTCCAATAAATATAAGTGAAAAAATGGGTTAATGGACCCATTTCGCCACTTCGAACGAAGATTAATATTTGCGAGGGCAATCAACTGCAGGATGAATAATGATGAAATACCAGCTTTTACACATTTGGTAGTACTCTTAGGATGCCCACAAGTCACACGTAAAAGTACATTTTGGAGTAATTACCCTTTTCACTCTGGAGATTTTATCCCAATTAAGGATATATTTATTTCGTAAAAAATAAATAATTTGAAAAATATTTTCTAAAAAATAATCGCTTGAATCATGTTATAAATATAAACGAACGAAAATGTTTTTTCATCCTTCACAAAAAAGTTAGGACATAGTTTGTTATCTATAATTAAATATTTTTTATTAACTAACTATTTTAAGTGATACAAGTGATCAATTTTAAGAAAATATTTTACAAATCATTCATTTTTCACGGGAAAAATTCTAAATAAGGGTCTAAAGTGGCTATGTCAATCTCAAAAAAGAGCCTGACTTCACTGGAGTCAAGGGCATTTTCATCTTTTAATTTTTTTGATTATTTTTCTTTTCTAATTTTTTCTTTCCATAACAAAACAAATTCATGAAGGAAAAAAAAGGAAAAAAAAATTGAACACTCAAGCTCCGCCTGTGGCCGCCGCCCATTGCCGATGGGCCGGCAGCAATGGCCGGCACCTCAACGAAGGGCCGGAGACCCTCACCGTAACTTGGAGAGGACGGCGACCCTCTCCCAGATCTGGGCGAGGGTCGCTGGTCCTTGCACAGGTCTAACGTCCATTGCTTGTATTTTTTTTTTAAAAAAAAAACTTTGATTTTTTTAATTTTTAATCTAATTTAACTAAAATTCATGTTAAAATTATTTTTGACGAAAATGCCCTTGATCGGCCGGAAAATTTGGCCGGCCAGCATGGTTAGGCCCTTATTTAAAACTGTTATAGCCACTTCAGACACTTACTTGGGATTTTCCCTTTTTCGCAAAGCAAACGGAGGCCAAACCATAAACTCATTTTTAGTTTTTCTTTTGATTCTTTTAACGCAAAGTTTTTCTTTTTTCATTTGAGTTGGATCCTGAATTTTTCTTTAAGGGCATTCGTTCATTCAGTATGTTAGAAGGCGCATTTGATTGTCGAAATAAGATAAAAGTCATTCTATCCGGCATTTGAAGATACATTCGGATTGGGATAAGCCTTAGAAAAAAACAATTAGAAAAAAGAATAACTCCCTTGCCATCAAAGCAGCATGCCCCTGTTAGTGCCGCTAGTTAGCAACTACCTCACCCATCATCTCCAGCTCATTTTTAACATTTTACTTTCTTCAAGTATTTTTTTTAGAATTTTCTAATTTGTCTTTTTATAGTGATGACCATAATCGCTGTCACATCACACGTTTTTTCAATAAAAAGCTATGATATGGTAAATATCCACATTTTTGTCTTGTTTTATTTTATTATAATTTTTTTACACTTTATTTAATTAAAAAAATTTTTAAGAATTTTTTTTTTTTTATTTTTTTTTTTTTTAAATTTAATTATATTATAAATTGTTTAGGTTTGGGGAGGGGAGAATAAAAAAAAGCCCCCTCTCCCCCTCCCCCCCCCCCCTCACTTTTCTTTATTAAAAAAAAAAAAACAAATAACATAAACTATTATTTGTTACATCACCTCACAAGTAAAATGAAATTAAAAGTAATAAATAGAATAGAAAAACTTCAACTTAAGAGCTAAGAAGCGTACGTCTTAAGAGCTCCTTTTCTTTTCGTATTGAATTATTGGTTGCGGAATTATAAAATATCCACTAAAATAATTGCAATCCACTTCATTTCATTGTATGAACCTCATCGACAAAGTAAAGATGTGGACTCATTGTTGAAGATGGACATTTTCCAAGTAGGTGATTTTACCAGCAAAATATTTGGAAGAAAAGAATTTTTTAATTCCCGTCTGAACATAAGTTAGGTAATTTTAGTCAAATTGCGATTAATTGTCGTACTTAACATGTAGAGGGGATGTTTGATATGAAGTGTGATTTTTAAATCTCAACTTTTTACTTTCACTATTCTAGTTAAACCAATCTTTGAGCACGTTACTTTTCCTTAAGCAAAAGAGAAAAGAAAACTTCTTATTTTCCATGTAAATTTTAAATATTATTCAAAATTTTAAAAAAATCATATACCAAAATTTATATGTCAATGTTTGTAAGTTTCACTGGTTTTGCGTTAAGATACAATTTAAAGGCGTGGATAGCAAGATATGAAAAGAAAATGTAAAAATTATAAAGTAAAGCCATTCCAAACACACCAAAAAACAAGTAGAGCATCTATAGTCAATTAAAAAATTGTCATATTTTTCCAGGAAAATCAATGGTTGGGCTCACTTGGTCCAAAACTTCGTATGACCCCTGCCCAATAGAAAATCATGGGGAAAAGTACAAAAAAAGCCATAAACCTATTGCATTGGTATCAATTCTATTATGAACCTTTCAATTGCACAAATTTAGTCTTAAACATTTCTACATTAGTACCAATTGAGTTTATTCGATCAATTTAGGCCGAAAATTACTGATGTAGATGCTGACTATCCTAGTAGGACAGCTGACACTGATGTGGACATTTTATTTAATCTTTAAATATTTTTTTAATTTTTTTATTAATGTTTTTTCAATTTTTTCTTTTCTTTCCCATTTTCTTTTTTTTTTTTCCTTTCTCTTTTTTCATTTTTCCTTATTTCCCTCCACCAGCTTCCGTGATGGCTAGCGGAGGTTGCTGGCCGTCGACAAGGGCCAGGATGCCCTCGCTAGCCTTTGGCGAGGACCGATGAGGTAGCCTTCCTCTTTTTTCAACTACAACTCTAGAGTTTCATCTTGCATCGGTTTCTTCCCATCTCTTCCTTGCCCATCCTCTATTTCTCCTTCTTCTTCCAGCCACGGGATTGATGGAGGACACTACGTTTGACGGTCTAGATCACGGGCAAATGAGCGATTTTGGTAACCCTTAGTTGCAAACCAGCGATTTTGGTAACCCTTAGTTGCGGCATGTCCCGTTGGTGCCGCAAGGTTTAGTACTCATCAATGAGTGTCTTTTCATGGAATTCTGTAGTAATTAAGACCTATTACGTTATTTGAGTGGTGTCGGTTTTATTTCTTTTTACATACAAAGGGCATTATGGTCATGCACAAATTTATATAAATATATTGCGATAGGTCTAGGGTTAAGTGTACATAGAAACTGAGAGCCCCTTGGCGGCTTCTATGATATGTTTCTTCCTCTCTTCTTCTCCTCTCAATTTCTCCTCTCTTCCTTCTTCTCTCTTGGCTATTTACCGTAGGTTCTCTAATCAGCTTTATGATATGATATCAAAGCAGATTTGACTGCTTGATTCCTTGATCCTATTACTGTATTTTTTTTTTGTCAGAATCTTATTGCTGGTTTGAGAGTCCCCTAATAGCCTCTTTTCCTTCTCTGGTGCGTAGCCAAACAAAGCTGCAAGCTCTATACATATAAGACTAGGAAAAATCAGATCCATCAAGTTTTGTTCGTGGGTGTGAATTACAACACTTACTAATCAGCAGATTCAAGAATCAAGATATTTTGTTGATTATGGTTGACCGGTATTTTCTTTTATATAGCAAACTATATTTATGAGATTTCAGCATTCTCTTTGTGAAATCGATGGAGCCAATTGCGTTTGATTATATGTCGGTATTGATTATATAGAGCCAAGGGATGTTTTATTTCCTGCGTTGATGTTTAAGTCTTCTTAATTTATGGTAGATATATTTTTATTGAGATTATTATCATCATGATTGGCACCAAGTCTTCCACAGACAGTGTCAATATTCAAATTACCACCATTAAATTAAATGGAGCCTCCAATTACTTGTTATGGGCTCAAGCTATCAAAGTCTATATTAGTGCCAAAGGGAAACTCGAGTATTTTACAACTGACCCCTTGCTATCGATTCTGAAGAGTATGATAACTGGATGAGAGAGAATGATACACTTTTGGTGTGGTTATGGAACAACATGGAATCACTCATTGCTACTAATATCATGTTACACACAACTGCCAAGGGAGTGTGGGATGATCTTATGGAAGCTAGTCACAAGACAAAAACATGTCTAGAGTCTATGAATTATATGAGAAGATTCTTAATTTTAAACCGAGGGACAAATCTCTTGGAGAGTATTATAGTGCTTTGAAAAGCATGTGGGAAGAACTCAATCTTTATCAACCCATCACTAATGATCTTGAGAAACTAAAGATACAGTGAGCTGAATTTCAAGTGGCCAAGTTTTTATTTGGTTTGAATATTGATTTGCAGCCTGTGAAGAGCTAGCTTCTTGCTTGAGAGAAAGTTCTTTCTATGAATGAAGCATTTTGTCGGATTCAGCATATTGTCCCTCCATCTTCTACATCATCTAAAGATAGTTAAGCACTAATAGCTAATACTAGTAATCATGGTCATTATGGATTTTCTAATAGAGGCCGTGGCCGTGGTGGTGGACGTAGTGGATCAAGT